CGTTCGCGAACTGGGCCGGGCCCGCGCCGCGCTCCTCCCTGGGGCCGCGCTGGCCTCGGCTGGGCCTACGAGGGAAGCGCGTGGCGGAAAGGGGACGCCTGGGGGGCGTCGTCTCGCAGCCAGTCGATAAACGGACACCTGCCGTGTGCCCGGCACCTGCTGGGAGGCGGGGACTCCGCGGAGAGGGAGACCCGGAGAGGGAGACCCGACGTGAGAGCCTACCTGGGAGCCGGCGCGGCCGCGTCTGCGAGCGCACGTGCTCAGTCCTGGGTGACACCGCGGACAGGGGCTTCGGGAGCCTGAGGCCTCAGGAAAGGGTGGCCTTGCCCAGCCCTGTCCCACGCTCACTGTGGAGGGACCACGAACGTTCTCTTTAGAAAGCCCCGATCTTCAGCTCACCCGCCGGGGCCCTGCCCCCTCCCTCGCTCACGCCGCACACCCAGATCTCGCTCCTGCGCGTGGCGTCCAGCCACCACGGCCACCAGCTGGCCCCTCAGCCCAGTTCCAGGCGCCCCACCGCCTGACCTTAGGCTCTGGGTACTGCCCTTCCTGGGGGGGAGGGGAACAGAGAAGTGAAAACCTGACCTCAGGCCACACGGTCTTGTCCCAGAGCCACCTGTGTACCTGTGCCAGAGCCTCCCGCGAGGGGAGCGGGCACCACTGCAGCCTGGCCAGGCACTGTTCAATTACAGTCACACAAGGCATGGCCTTGGAAACGGAGGTGTTCAGAGAGGCCGGAGGTGTTCAGGGAGGCCGGAGGTGTTCAGGGAGGCCGGAGGAGGAGTACACACAGAAAACCGGAGGGGGAGTTTTGCAAGTTGGTTGTAGACAGTACACAGGTTGACAAGGAGAGAGGAGGGACCCCAGATGGCATAATGGTTATGTGGCTGGACTCCCATGTAGTCAATGGCGGTTCAAGTCCCAGACCTGGCGGCTTCAAACTCATGCTGGGCACGTGTGCGTGCATGTCCAGAATCCTGAGAGGAGAATGGAGGAGAGGGGACTTGGATTCTGTCCTAGAAGCATGGGGGGGCAGGGGGCTGTTGAGGAAAGAGACACACTCACAGGTGACCTTTGAGAGGTGATGTGGCACGGCAGCAGGTGGCGTGGAGATGAAGGCATTGGGTCCTATATGACCAACTCTGCAGTTTGAGCCCCGGGCCCAACAGCATGAGACTCACGCCGGGCACATGTGCATGTGTCCCCACAATCCCAAGACACTCTAAGAACAGTAAAGACAATGAATATTTGAACAATGCAGTGAGCAACATTGATCTGATATAGACCCAGCCAACTTCTGCAATAAGACGCTGGACAGTATTTCACTTTGTGGGCCATGTGCTTGCTGCCGTTGTAACACAAACAAAGCCATAAACAATGTACAACAAAGTACCGGGATTGTGTGTCAATAAAGCTTCATTTAGACAGGCCGTGGGCTACGTGGGGCCGGCTAGCAGAAGTCTGCCCACCCCTGATGATAGCAGGTTGTCAGAAAAGTCATGATGCATTTTTCTATTTTTCTGTGCAAAAATGTGTCATGACTTTTCTGACAACCTAATAGATATAGGAAGGCCAAAACAAAACAAAACAAACCAACCATCGCCTTGGGAAGCTGGAATAGAAGCTGGCGCGTTGCGTGGTGGTGAAGGCACTGGACTCCCACGTGGCAGACCACGGTTCCGGTCCAAGAGCTGGTGACTCGCTCTCTCACTTTCCCTCTCTCTCTCTCTGTCTCTCAGTGGTCAAATTTTAAAATAACAAAGTTAAATAATTATTTTTAAAGAATTTGAAATGAAGATGAAATAACAGTAGCTAAATAAACTTAAGGAGATATAATGTTTTAAGAGTGAGAAAGTGTCAGGAAGCGAGCCGGAGGGAGAGAGAGCTGACGGGCCCTGACTGGTCTGGGACCCTCCTGCCACGCTTCCCAGGGTGATGGGCACAGGCCTGTTTTGGGTTGGGCTGGAACTGAACCCTGAGCTCCCATGATACCTCAGACACCGCATGGCACCTGCCTGCTTATGCCACCACAGCTGGGCCAGAAAGAGAACTTTTTAAAGAAACAACGACCATTGGTACAGATAAAAAAACTTATTATAGGGATGACTGACAGAGCCGAAAGGCGGTTCTTTAAAAAGAGTTATCAGATTAACCAAAGTTTGTTGTGACTCCCTCAGAGGATGACGGCATAAAGGGCAAGGCAGGAAGGGGGAGCCAGGGCAGGGCTGGTGTTTCCACGCTCTGAAAATAACGGGAGGGCCCTGAGGAAGAACGAGACGACGATTCCTGAAATTACAGACCTCCCCTAACCTGATAAAACAGAAGCGACTCACGCCCGTGCCTTCCCTGGTGGGCTCCGATCAGCATCGAAGGAACTGCAATTTCAGCTCAGTACTAACTCCTTTAGATGCTGCATAGCATTTATACCCAAGTCTGGTAAGAACAAGTTACATAAGTGCAAAAATTCTAAGTTAAGGATTAGTGAGTAAAATACACAATGATAAGAGCAACCAGATGGCGTGGTGGCCGGATCCCCCATGACCACAGGGTCGACCAGATGGCATGGTGGCCGGATCCCCCATGACCACAGGGCCGACCAGATGGCGTGGTGGCTACGGTGGCCGGATCCCCCATGACCACAGGACCAGATGGCGTGGTGGCCGGATCCCGCATGACCACAGGGCTGACCAGATGGCATGATGGCTGGATCCCCCATGACCACAGGGCCGACCAGATGGCGTGGTGGCTACGGTGGCCGGATCCCCCATGACCAGCTAAGCGGTTGGCGTTCCAGACCGGACGGCACATGGGCTGCACTCCCAAAATCCCAAGAGGAGAATGGAGAGAAAGGACTGCAGCTGGCCATCTCATCTCCCGTGGGGCTGATTTCTCATTTTCCCTCTCTCTCTTTCACTCCCTCTCTCTCTTTCACTCTCTCTCTCTCTTCGGCTGATTTCTCATTTTCCCTCTCTCTCTTTCACTCCCTCTCTCTCTTTCACTCCCTCTCTCTAGTGAGCACCAACACCCTATAGCAAATTAAATATAGCATACACACACACATACACACACACACACACAATGATATATCCTAACTAAATCGCATTTATGCCAGGAATGCAAAATTGGTTTGATGTTAGAAAAATCAATTAATCTAATTCCCCATTTTATATATTAAACCAGAAAAATCATATGATCACTTCAAAAATTGTAGATCAAATTCAGTGTCCTTCCGGGATAACATCTCTGGGCAACCTAGAAAGAGGACAGACTTGTCTGGACCGAAAGGACGCCATGGAAGGCAGTCCCCCTCTTTGGGATGGAAGGAAAGATGAGGCGCCCGCTGGGTCAGCTTCCCCCTCCCGGCCGCCCGAGGCCTGAACCCACCGCTCAGCGCTCAGCCTCAGCTCTGCAGGGCCCTGCTTTGTGCTGCGCCCAGGGGAGGGGGCGTCTCCAGCAGGGAGCATGGTCCTGTGCACCCACAAAGCGCCACCCACGGGCCGCGATCTGACATTGCGGACCTCTGAACTCACCCAGGAGCGCACAGAGGGATGGACCGCGTGGGCACAGGACTCCTCCCTGGGAGCCCAGCCTGGCGGGCAGTGCTTCCCAGCCTCTGCCCACTCACCGGCCTGGAAAGGCAGGGGCTGGAGGTGGGAGAGAGAGGGAGGCCCAAGCCAGGCTGGAAAAGGCGAGATGGAAACCGTTTCAGATATCCATGCAAGGTGTGTAAAACAGAGCAGCCTGGGGCCAGCAAGTGGCACTGTGGTTGAGGCACGGGGCTCACTCACGACCAACCATGGTTCAAGTCCCAGACCTGGCGGCTTGCTTTCTCACTTTCCCTCTCTCTAGTCAAATTAAAATAATAATAAATAAAATTCTTTTATAAAGAAGAAGACAAACTCTCCACACTGGAGTTTTGCCCAGTCGGCACCTCTGCCCCTGTCTCTGCAAACAGGCCTTCCGGAGCGCTGTTCTGAGGGGTTGGGGAATGGGCCTCCTGCAACTGCAGAACCCCTCGGAGGACTCATCAGTGCGCCAGGCCTTCTGGAGGCATTTAACTAGCCGCCTGGGGAGTTCCTGTCCCCAGGCACTCGCTCCACAGCAAGGAAGAAGAGGCGCCTGCTGTCTCAGCCACACGGAACTCACGGAGCCCACGAGCTGAGCTGAGCGGGCAGATGGACCCTCGGCTGCCACAGGTCGCTAAGAACAAAGCTGTCCCCTCCAGGGCCTGCGGGTGGAAGTCGCACTCCAGAGGCCTTTCCTCAGAATCTGCCCTCTGAACTGACTCACGTAATACTTCTTAGTCACAGGAGGCTGTGAGAGAGTTTACGGGAATCGTTGATTAGATGCGTTAAGTTTAAAAAGGCACACACTTCCTGATGCAGTCAGAATTATTTAAATCTCTTAACTTGGTAGAAATGTGCACCTCTTCCACAGGGAGCGTCTCAAAATCGACGTTAAATTAACTCACTGCAGATGTGGCTATGCCGTGAAGAGACTGGCTGTGCTGACTCATCTGATGTGACCCACGTACCTTGATTTTGAACCTCGGCCTGACCCCTTGATAGCTGTGTGGCCAGGGGTCGCCTCCCCTGTAAAGCGGCTAAGAACTCTCCATGTGGGACGCAGCGAGGTAAACGACAGGGCGTGGACAGCGCTCGGCACACCTCACCCCCCACGTGAGTTCTCTCCTCTTTTAATATTCATTTTTATTTCTTTATTTAGTGTTTTGCCACAGAGTACATGCACTCACAGAGAGAGACAGAGAGAGAGGGAAGGTGAGCAGTCGCACCCCGGGGGATGGCCACACGGCAATCCCTTCTCCACTCCCCCTCAGGATTCTGGGCGTACACACACGTGCCAGGACTGAAGTGGCAGAGGCCACGTGGGATCCAGCCGCCTTAACCTCTGCACCATCGGCCGGCCCCTCTCGACATCCTTTTCCAAGGTGAGCCTTTCTTCTCTTGTCCAGATGACTGGGGCAAATGCGTGGGTCCATGCACCGGAACTGGCCAGCCCCAGGAGTACACCAGGACCGGGGAGAGAGTAACCCTATCCTGAATTCGGTCTTGAAGCCAGTGGCCTCACTCGCAGAGACGGACCCTCTGGGTGCCCTTCGAAGCTCATATCACACCCTAATGATCCCGTGCCGACTTGAGACTCCTGAGACCAGCGGATGGCGTAATGGTTATGTCACTGGACTCCCACGTAGCCCACCACAGTTCAAGTCCTGGACCTGGTGGTTAAAGCTCACCCTGGGTGCGTGCGTGCCCAAAATCCCAAGAGGAGAATGGAGAAGGGATTGTGGTGTGGCCATCCCCTGAGGGGATGATTTCTTACTTTCGCTTTCTCTGACTGGCTGGTGGGCACACGCATCCTATAGCAAAAATCTCTCTTAAGAAAGAAAATTTGAGACCCCCTTTAAAGACTCTGCTCCAAACACAGACATGTTCTGACGCTGGAGTTAGGGCCTCGACCCGTGAACTGGGGGGCAGCCGCCATTTGCACACCCAGCTGTGGCCACTCTCTGCCCCTTCATTTCGCACATCGTTCTGAAGGGTGTCTGGGTTGTCTCCGCCCGCCAGACCTTCCTTCTGTGCAGTGCACAGACCTGGAGCGGGCTGAAGGAGACTTTAACACCAACACGGCCGAAGACACACTGGCCATCCAGGGGCTCAAGGAGCCTGGGAGAGGTCAGGGGCCCGAGCTAGCAGTGGAGGACGGGGCCCACGTCGGGACTGCAGTGGCCACCGATCCGTCCGCTCTGGGTAAGCTTTGGTGTCTCTGCTGGCAGGACGCGCCCTCCGCAGGACAGGTTTGCTCTGTCCTGTGCCGTCCAGTTTCCGGAAGCTGAAGAACAAAGTACCGCGCTGTCGTTGCAGAAGACCAGAACCGTCGAGAGAGTGGAGCCATCATGCTGAGGGAGGCACAGAGTGAAGAGGGTGGCCTCTCTCCCCCTCGTTCTCGATGTGTACATGACAGATGCACGTCGTGGCCATGACGGTGTGTGGCGTGATGGCTGGACAGACGTGTACCCTGAGCGACGTCCACCTTGATCACGTCAGTGGCCATTCCTCCCCCTCCTGGAGTCCTATTCCACGTGCGGTTAGACCACAGAGGGGCCCTGTTTGTGCAGTTGCCGGAGTGACACAGAGTATGATTAACCACGACACCACATAGGGATCAGGCCCAGAGAGCACTCATCTCATAGCTGAAGAAGCCGGACACGGAAACCAGCCCTGTGTGGTCTCTCCGGTATGTGGCATGGGACAGAGTCGGCTCTGTAAATGATTTATGCCTCGGCGGGAGGTCTGAGGAGCTGCAACCCCGCGGCGGCTTCAGGTGACCCTGCACCTCTGGGAGCAAGTGTCCTTTGAGTAACTCCACCCGTGGGACACGCGCTCTCACCAGGGAGTTTCTGGGGCTACTTGGGTTCTTCACGTGGAAACGCCGTTTCGACGAAGTGATTTCTGCTCCACGGTGAGAGAAGCGTCCAGCCAGGGGCAACGCCAACGTTCACGAAGCTAGGCAACCTGAGCCCGAAACCCTTCCAGACAATCCCCCCTTCTCTTCACTAGCACTTAGATTATGTCCGACACTCTCCACGGGGGCGTAATGCTCTGAGATTCGGCACGAACACAATCTTACTGTCTCCTGCGCGACTCGGAGCCCTGGCCAACCCTCTGGAAATGCGCTGGCTCAGAACTAAGTTCTGTTTTCTGCCTCTCAGCTGTCATTGTTTGCAGGCATAATCATGCAGTAAGCACCACTTACAGAAATCAGTAGTGTTTAGCAAAACAAGTAAAGCCGAGCATATTCTGTAGCCAGTGCGCCCAAAGGACCGAAGCGCGCTGGCCCCTACGTGGGTTAGCTCGCTGCCCGCCTAACTCACACCAGGTTCGGTTAAGGTGAGGATGAGACGGACGTGCAGGTTGCCGATGCGCCACACTCTCGCTTCTGTGACTCCCGTTTTCAGCCACAGACCCATCCCGGAGACTGAGCCCTTCCCGGCTCAAATATCCCCAGGGCTTCTTTCACATCCTCATTCCACTGACAGGCTAATTTCTCCACAGCCGGCCTTCGTTGTACACAACCTCAGGACAAAATTGCCTTTTCTTTGTTTAACTTCAAAGGCTGTCATTATTCTTTCCCACCAGTGAGTGTACCTAGGTGGCCTTGTGTTTGACCCCTCCGATCAATAAGCTACTGGGGGGAAATCGTCAACTGGCTGGTTTGAACCACTGGTTTTCCACTTAGTGGTTTTCAAGATGATTTTTCAGACCTCTGAGAATGGCTGAAGTAAAAGTACTGCCCCTTAGGACATGAAAGGTTTGGGGGCCCTTTTTAGCAAAATGTACTAAGACACAGTCATTGCAGTGGGGAAGACTGAGGAAGAGAACCACCCCCTGCTGCGAACAGCTGGGGGCAGGGTTAACCATTACACAGCATCGGCTTTGCAGGAAACCGTGTCGCCACTCCCCGAGTTACTGGTTAACTGGAGTCTAGTTTCTGGAACTAATGGGAAACGTTTCTGTAATGAACAGGATGCTCCGATGCCATTCAAAGTTTGGGAATTTTAATTTTAAAGAGATTAATCGGTCAATAAGGCCCTGCCTCGCATAAGAGGCCAGACCACTCGTGTTTTCCACTCACACGCCACATCCCATCCTCCCATCGTGCTGTCTACTCTCGAGTCCTGGCTGAAGTGTGGCCCGACTGCGGAAGGCACGGCGCTTGCACACTGTCAACCCCTCAGTTTTACCGCCCATTTGATCACTTCCCAGAGGCATTTTCAGAGGTGCAGGAAACACTGCGTGTAGATCTGAAAAGCACGCTTGAAAGCAGCTATGTGAGCAAATGACAAGATCGTAAGGACATTTAGGCTAAAATGCAGTCAAGACTCACCAAATGAACACCTAGCCCGCCTGAGACGTTTACCCATGTTTAACTGCATTTTAATCCTGAAGAGACAAATAACAGAGCAAATTGGCATCAGGAGTTTTCTCAAGCCCGAAGGAGAAGCAAGAAAAGAAATGACCACGTTTCGTGTATTCTAGCTTCAAGGGGCACACTTTTTGTGTCCCCCTTTAAATCTCTGGAAGCAGATCTGCCTCTCAGTGATGCACCGCGGTGGCCAGCGGGTGGTGACACAGTGGGGTGTGCGTGTGAGCAGGGGCCCTGGGACCTGCTCTCTGCACTGCCAGCACCTCGGCTGAGACAATGCATGTGCCACACCTCGTATGTTACAGTTAACTGATTTGTCTGTGACGGTTCTTAAAGAATAAATTATGATTTAGCAAAGTAAGTTTGACAAATGCCTTAACAATATTTCATTTATGTTTTTCCATTAGTGTGCAAGAATGCTGTATCATACAAATCTGTCTAAGTGTCTAGAAGAGTACTCTCAGTAAGTGTAAAGTTGTTGATAAGAAAGCATTGTGTCAGGGCCAGCAGCTGGCGTAGGGGTTAAGGTGCTGGACTCCCATGCGGTTGACTGCGGTTGTAGTCCTGGGCCTGGCAGCTTGAAACGCACGCTGGACTCATGTGCGTGCTTGCCCAGAATCCCGAGAGGAGAATGGAGGAGAAGGGACTGTGGCATGACCGTTCCCCCTAGGAAGTGATTTCTCATCTTCTCTCTCTCTTTTTCTCTGGCAAATGCAAACACCCTAAAACAAAAACCTCTCGAAAAGAAAGAGAAAACACTGTGTCACCATCCAACTGTGGCGCGTGTGTGTTAAGGGTGTGCAGCCCCAGGTCCCTGAGATGGAGGGCGATGCTGCGCTCCGCGGGTGTGCACTGCAGGTCTGTCCTGTAGCCGCCCAGGTGCAGCTGCAGGTGGCCACCTCTAGTTCTGCTCCTGACAAGCTGATGCCCTGTTGTCTTTGTCATCTATTTTTACCTCTGAAGTCAGTGTTTTCCAGGGGAAGAGGCAGCAAAACCGGCACCACCTTTCCAGCACCCAGCCAACCTTGACCGGAAGGCACGGTGGCAATCCGCGGTAAGTTTGCCGGTGTAAGCCAAGTGCTACTTAGAAGCAGCGGGTTACTGGAGAGTCTCAACCTCCTGCTGTGAACAGAGGGATATGGCTCAGAGATCTTCCCAAAGAGAAGAGGTGAGACTAAAGCTAACTCATGGTCCAGCAGCAAAACCTAAAACCAGTCCCCTGCCCTTTCTGCTTTGCTTAAATTCTGCCATTTTGTACTGACGCTCAGATGCCTTTAGACCTTTCCCTGGGCGCGGGGTCATGGACACGTGTGGACACATCTGTGTCCGCTGCAAAGCTTGGCCAGCAGGTCTGGTAAGCTGAGGAGAGCCTAGAGTCGTTACCAGCCGTCCCGAGAAAGTGAAACTGAATCCTCCTCGCAGTGTCCTGGGACTGGCTTCCAACCACGTGAGCAGGAGGCAGAAGGTACTGCAGCCTCCTACAGCGAGCTGGGTTTCTGAAGGGGCAGAGGTGAGATTCCTCGCGGGCACACCGTGGCACACGGCGCTCTACCTCACTCTGCTAACGGAGAGCCGCCGTCTCAGTGCAGGGCCAGGGGGTCACGCATCGCGCCTGTGGGTGCCACAGGAGGTTAAATACCGCATCGGCTGCCGGCCGTGACCTTGAACCCTGGGTTTCCTTCAAAGCAGAAGAGGCTTGTCTAACACTTTTCTGAGAAAGTCTTCAAAGCAGCGGCGTGGAGCAGCGGTCTGTCAGGCACGAGCACCTTCCAAGAGTCCTGATTTCAAAAGTGGTCACCGAGGAGTGGCAGTGAGGGGCCGTACTGTGACGCCAGCCTGCCCGGGCAGGTCCATGGGTGTCTCAGGGCTCCCCTGTGCACGCGGCCTCACACACACGTGCACATGTCCAGGCCGACTGCGTGGAGGGGAGGAGTGTGGTGTGAAGACCTGTCAGGGTGCCTGTCTCTTTCTCTCTCCACTGGGAGAAATAAATAACTTTACGAAGTGATGGCTGAACCGAAGTGCAGTGGCAGGTAGGTGAGTGTCCGTGACAAGGACGGAGACGACAGGGGTCACCCCGCCAAGTCTCTGATTTCCAGACCCAGTGTTCCCAGCATCATTGAACTCTCTCACACTCCGTGTTAGTAACTAACAATTAAGCAACGGTAGGAAGAGTGCTCCCCCCTGTGGCCAAATTCCTTGAAAGGCTGCAAGGTGGGAGGAGCTCTCTTGAAAACCTCCGGGACCTCAGAGGCCCACCTACCACTGCAGGTGCTGTGTTTGCCCCCAAAAATAAGAAGAATAATTTAAAAAACTGGGTTTTCAGTTTGAGTAGTGGACACAAATAATAGACACAATAAATAAGAACACGTTTTTAAATCATAAAAATATAAAGTAAGGTAAAATTTAACTCAGAATCAGAGTCTGATAACATCAGATTTATAAATTTTTTTTAGGGGCTTTTGCTTTAGGGTGCATATGCTCACAGGAGAGAGAAAGAGACAGAGACAGTGAGAGGGAAAGTGAGACATTGCCCCAGGCGGGGGTGGGGGTGGTGGCTATGTTGTAATCCCTTCTCCCTTCTCCTCCTGGGGCCTTGGGCATGCACTCACACATGCCAAGAGTGGCCTGTTTCGTTCAAGCCTTTGTCTAAAACATACCAAGAACCTGGGTATCGTCACACAAGCCAGCCCACGAGTCTTGATGGTTCCCAGTGTTCCCGACGGCCCCACGAGGGCCAGTTTACACGGAGCCAGCCCACTGAGCTGAGGGCACAGTTTGGAAAAACCAGCTATCACATAGTTTCTAAAATAAAGGTCTCTGAAGGCATGTAACGGCTTGGGAAGATTTAGCTCATCATCAGGCTCTTAGTGAAGCAGACCATCTACCGCCTGCGTTCTCCGAGCTGGGGTTCGTGCCAGACCTCAGCCTCCAGAAGCAACGTCCTCAGTGCCCCAGTCAAACCGCCTCTCTTCTGTGAAGCCTTCTTTGTCTCCCGCCTGCCGACTCCACCCCCAGACCCACTCCCCTCAGAGGAACCGGTTCTGTGTCTCCTTGTTCACATGTGGAGATTCAGCGTAAATCTGCGACACTCACGTGCTTTGCTGTGAAAGGGACAGTGAAGTAATTATTTAAAACTGTGTGTGCATACCACACTTAGACGCAAGACACTGCCCCTCACCTCTTAAAGGCCAAGGTGGGGACGCACCTTACAATGGATCTGTTTGTATACCACCTTGGTGGTATATAGAATAACGATTCCATTAAATTCAATGGCGTTTTGCATTTTATACATCCTATGCGGCTATGTCCCTCCTCCTTCACTAGGAACAGCTTCATCTGTCATCCCACGTGACTGCTGATCATGTTTTCTACACTGAACTGAAATAGAAAACAGACGATTTTGGAATGCTCGTATCTTTCTCACTTTCCAAAGGCAGATTTCATGATTCATGGTTTGAATAAAAATGCTCCAGATACCGCAAAGCGTGATATCCATGTTGAGGGTTTTGTTTTTCACATTTAGCCGTCACTAGTTAATAGAAATCATTGACATTGATCAGGCCTGCCTAATCACTGGAGAGGCACGGATCGATTCGCTCAGGTAAGCGTGCCCCACCCACCCGCAACCCTCCCTCCGCGCCTTGCAGGCAGGGCCCAGGGAGGACGCAGGTGCGCAGGGCCCAGGTAAGGCGCAGGTGCGACGGCGGTTCCGGACGCGAGCTCCTATTGGCCATGGGACACGAAGGACACGCCCCGCGGGGCTCTGCGCGTGCGCCGGGGGAAAAGGGCGCAGGCGCGCGCATGCGCAGTCCGCAGCTGCCGCCGGGACCGGCCGAGCCCGGTGCGGCATGAAGGGCGCTCCGACGCCATGGACTGCCGGGGCGCGAGCCCTGCAGCAGGTGCAGCCGGCCCATAGTGTCCCTGCTGCCGGGAGCCTGTATTTTCGTGCCCGAGCGGTGTTTGGTACGGGCGTGCGTGCGAGGGACGGCGGGCAGTCCCCCGATGGCCCGTCCGTCCTCCCGGGTTCGGGGCGCGCCCGCGCGCGTCCTGAGTCTTCCCTGGGGTCTGGGAGTCCAGCGGCACGGCCACTACGCCATCTGCTGGTGGAGAATCATTGCAGCCCCGGGGTGCGCTGATCAGCAGCGGCAGGACCGATCGGCGCCCACAGGTTGTCCAGTGCCTCCCCTAGGCTGGGCTGCCAGCAGCGACTCCTCGCCAAACCTACTCGTAATCTAAGTTCCTGCCAGCGTTGAGGTGGGGAAGGGTTCTCGCAGTGAGAGCCCAGGGCTTCCGCAGCTGCACAGTGTGCTCACGCCCTCCACCCGCTGCAGGTGACTCGCCCCGGTTCAGGACCTCGGATGTCTCCCAAGCCACGCTCTCCAGCGTAGCCCCGGTGTTCACTGTGGTGAGTATGAGAGGGGCGTTTGTTCCCCGGGAGGCACCTCCCCTACCTAAGGTAGTCGGTTCCGCGGTCAGGCCAGATGGTAGTATGCCGTCCTGTGGGAGTTGTCACGCAGGTCACGTGCTCTGTGTTGTGCCCGGCCCGTGACACGAGACCCGGCTAGGTTTCCCCTCGTAGCTTTGCTAACCGCTGTAGCTCTTCTAGTACCAGGTAAGGCCTTTCACGTCTCAGATAAGATCTACCAGAGTCTGTTTGGAAGTCCTAGGAGGCTGCTAGCCATGGAGGGGCTTGAACCTGTGCCCTGCCAGGTACTGTGCAGAGCACCTCGAAGGCAGCACCGGGTGCCACCGACAAACACATGATCCGAGGGTCACGATCTTGCAATTTTCTCTGAAATGGCCCCGGGAAAAAATTGTGTGTGCGTGTGTGTTTTTCTTATGAGAGAGAAAACAATAAGGCCTCTAGGGCAAAGTGCTGAGGGCTCCGGGTAAAGTTATGTGGGAATCGCTTGCAGTATCCCACAACTCTTTTGTAGGCTCTTAATTTTTCCGAAAATGGTTTGATTTAAAAAATAGGCATGTGGGCCAGCAAGTGGCATGGTGGTGAAGGTGGTGGGTCCATGTGGCTCACTGCGGTTCAGGTCCTAGACCCGGCAGCTTAAAAAACACAGGATGCATGTGTGTGACCAAAATCCCGAGAGAAGAACGGAGGAGAAGGATTGCGGTGTGGCCATCCCTTCTGGGGGCTTCCTCACTTTCCCTCTCTCTGTCTCTGGCAAGTATATAGCCTCGTAGCAAATTAACAACAGTAAAGTTTTATTTTACATACTTTTGAGATTTTCAGCAGTGGGTATGTAGATTTGAGAAATAAATTTGAGGAGGAGAGCTAATTTATATGACACAAATTTTGGCCTGCCCAACCAAGTCGGGGGAGGGTGAACCCCGAGCGGAGGGCCGGGGCTGTAGACACAGGCAGAGAAGAGCGGGGACAGGCGGTCCGGGCACCTCTGATGGAGGTCCTGGCGGTGCTTACCGTTACCGTGGAGCGCCCGCTCGGAACACAACGGAACCGAGCTGTGTTAGGACACAGCAGAAGGGCGTCTTTTTAACCCGTGGAACTGGATTTAACTTGAGGTCAGGTGTTGTTGGAATCTGCCTCTCAATACTTGGGTCGTATCACTCAGTGAGGTAGACGGGATACTAATTTGAGAGACATTAATGTCGGTTTTCTTATCTGTCTTCAGACGAAATTTGACAAAGAGGGCAACGTGACTTCTTTCGGTGAGTGTGTGTTTCTTCTAAGTCCCTGTTTACATCCGTGAATGACTGTGTCAGGGAATCGGGGGGTTGTGTTCTAGCTGAAGAGCCCCCGTGTGTGCAGGGCTGCAGGGAGGCCCTGCTTCGGCATCGTTCCCTGCCCTCGCGGGCCTGTAGCCGGGACCTGTGCGTCTGCCCAGGGTTACTTTCCTCTGGCGAGAGCCACTGTAGCCCACCAGGACGCTCAGGGGCTGTGGAGAGCAGAGGCTGGCGTGGAGCCGGCCACAGACACGCTCCCCACCGGTCTCTCCTCAGTCTCCTTATGCCATCGAGGCTGCAGCGAGTGGCTGAAGACAAGGGACTACAGTGACAGGCAGGCACCCGCATGGCGGTCCGGGACTCCGCCTCTGCTCTCTGTGGGCAGCTGCTTTTAAAAACGGGTGGGGGCCAGCAGGTGGCTTGGTGGTTAAGGCACTGGACTCCCATGTGGCCGACCACAGTTTAAGTCTCAGACCCAGTGGCTTGAACCTCCCCTGCCACATGTGCATGGCCAAAATCCCAAGAGAAAAATGAAGGACAGATTGTGTGGTCATCCCCCTGGGAGGGAGGGGCAAAATTTCTCCCCTTCTATCTCTGTCTTTCCAGCAAGCACATGTGCCCTATAGCAAAAGTCTCTTAAAGCATAAAAATGATGCCAGGTGGGGGCCAACCAGTGGCATCTTATTAAGGCACTTGGATCCCACATGGCCAACTACGCAGTTCAAGTCCTGGACCCAGTGCTTGGAAAATACACGGGGCACGTGTGCAGGAGGAAAATGGGTTGCAATGTGGCCGTCTCTCCTAGGGGGTGATTCTACCTTCTCTCTGGCAAGTACACATGCCCTGGGGCCAAACTTTAAAACAAACAAAAAAGCGAAGATAGAAACCAGGTGGGCAGCCCCTCGGTGTGGTGGTCACGGGAACTGGATCCCAATGGCCAACTGTGTTTAAATCTCGGCTTCAGCCGCTTGAGAGACATGCCTGGTGCAAGCGTGTGCGTGCCTCGGGTCCCCCCAGGGTGCAGGAATGGAGAAGAGGTGGCAGCTTGCCCACACCCCGTTGGGATGCACTCTCTCTCTGTCTCTGTCTGTCTCCCTTGCAAAACGAAACAAAGGTGAAGCTCAGTAGAACTCACATGTGGCAAGTTCCAGGTCTCTCGCCTCCCACCGGGCCCTGCTGCTGTTGCTGGGACCCTCCCAGAACACGGTGTATGCTTTCTGTTCATCTTCCTTCAAAAGCTGTCGGCTCATAGCCCAGTCCCAGGTGTGGTCGGCCCCGTAGTCAGTACGATCTCTGAGCCTCTCTCATCTCTCACGCGTCCTCAGGGGGTGGCTTTAGTTCTCAGACAGGAGAAGCTGTGTGAGAACTGGCTTGGTTTTATTTTGTGTCAGTCCAAAAACAAAGGGAAGTAGATTCATCTGTCTTAGACTGAAAATACCGAAGACGTCTTGAGGAAAAATAGAGCGTAGACTTGTGTACAGTTTATTTTAGTAGAAGATGGCCCGTCTCTAGAACTGTCATTGCTAGGGCACGTTCCCGTGAAGCCTAGCTGTGTTTTTATGATCCCAGGGGCCTGCTGAGTACGGAGAAGTTTTATGAAGAAATTGTATGGCAAAGAGAACAAAGTAATTAAAGCCTTTGGCCACATTTAGCCTGCGCGTGTTTTCGAGGTGAGATGGGTTTGCAGAGGTGCATTTCGGCCGTGTTTCTGGTAGTAACAGGAAACCGTGTGGACGGCAGTGAGGGGTGGTCCACCGGCTCTTGTCGGCCATGCAGTGTATTAGCTCAGCCCTGTTTTTGATTTCTTTGTAGAAAGGAAGAAAACCGAGTTGTACCAGGAGTTGGGTCTTCAAGCCAGAGATCTGAGATTTCAGCACTCAATGAGCATCATGACCAGGAGCAACAGGATTATTATGAGGATGGAGGTAACAGGCCCGCTCTGCCCGCCCAGCTCTGCCCCAGTCGGAGAGTCCCTTCCCAGCCCTCCCCATCCTTAGCCGTTAGCAGTGATGCTGGAATACAGTAGCTATGTGAAACAAAGGATTTCGTCATTTAAGGTGTTGCAGACCGAATTACAGGCAAATGCACATGCCCTGGAATCGGACTACAGCGTAAATGCACCCAGGCTCCGTGGGCATGGCAGATGCTGCCCCGCTTTATGTCGGAAAGTTCTGACCGCGGTCTTTCTGTTTGGACCTAGAGCCCAGCTTCCGAAATTACAGAAGAAGGAATCTTGTTCTGTAACTTATTTTCAATTACGTGCAGTCACATTTAACTGTAGTACATCCGTAGCTACCAGCAACATATTCTAGTTTTCCAAGTAGTACAAGAATGTCCATGCCACCGTATGAGCTTAGAGGTTTGTTTTCATGCAAAGCTTTCTAAGATACTTGATCTTTCCCTGAGTCCTCAGAGCACACTAAACATGTCGCCAATATGTCGATTTTCCTTAGTGATCAAGAGTTAGCATGATCATCAGTTATTTTGGTGGGCCAAGGGTTACAGGTCAGCAACACGTGAGGGCTGGCCCAGTAGCCTGGGGATTAAGGGAGCCAGATCCCATGTGCATGACCGTGGTGTGGGTCCCGACCCCGGTGGTTCGGAAAACATACCAGGCATGTGTGTGGACCAGTGGAAGAGAAGGGGTTTGGCATGGCCATGGGCCATGGGGCGCCTTCTCCCTCCACGCTCCGCACCCCTGCAGGCACAAGTGCCCTCTGGCAAGGAGAAAGTAAATACATACATACGTGTACGTGCACACACACACACACACACACACAGGCCGCTGCTCTCTTAGAGAAGTTCTCTCATGGTTTTGAGAGCATGGTCACAGGTGTTTTAAGGGAAGTGTGCAGAGCGGTGTGTCCACAGGGAGAGCAGCCCCACGGGGGGACAGGCGACGGTTTCATTCCTTCCTTGGAAAGGAAGGGGAGAGGTGTACCCAGAAAGGCCCCTGTCCCCCACGAGCAGGGCAGTCCTGGGGCAGTTCCTGATTTTACACGGTGTTAAATTGAGCACTAAGGCAGAGAGGGGGGCGGGGGCGTCCGCGGAGCCGTCACGCCACGGTCCACTCTTCGCCTCAGCGAGCCGGGATCACGGACACACGTGCTCCTGTCCGGCTCATGCCCAGGGCCCCAGACGTGCCTCGGGGACTTCCACATGGGTCCAGGTACATTCCCACTATGTGACCTTCTCGCCCAACTCGACTTCGAAGCAGACCTTAAGTTCCCCTTCTGTCCTGTTTTTCTCATGGTTACTTAGGAAATAATAAACACACAGCTGTGTGAGTAATGTAGAGCTCATCTAGTAAGAACGGGTTGGGGGCCAGCCCCTGGGCTGGTGGCTAAGACAGCTAAACCCCATATGGCCGACCGAACAGTTAAGAGTCCCGACTCCTAGGCCAGCAGGTGGCGTGGTGGTTAAGGTGCTGGACTCCCGCGTGGCCGACTGTGGTTTGAGTCCCGGACCTCTTGGCTGGCTTTCTCACTTTCCCTTTCTCTCTGTCTCTTGTCCCTCTCTGGTCAGATTTAAAAATAATAAATAAAAATAAATAAATAAACAATGTGAAAAAAAAAATAATCCCAGCTCCGATGCTTGAAACATTCAGGATGTGCTATGTGTCCCCGAATCTGCGAGACGGGGAGAGGGGGTGCGGTACGGCCGTGCCCTACCGAGGGGTCACTTCTGCTTCTGGTGAGCACGCGCCCCCCCGGCAAGTCTGAAAAGAGAAAAGGGATGAGTCGAAGGTGCCAAGACCTATCTTTCCTCTTAAAGAACAGGTCCTTACACGTTGTACTAGACAATCATACTGTAAGAGCTGTCCATAAAAATTAGTGATTAGAAAAGTGAAAATGGGGCCAGTGGTGGCATGGTGGCTAAGGCACCGGTCCCCCACATGGCCAGCCACGGTTTGAGTCCCAGATCTGGCAGCTCGCTTTCTCACTCCCTTTCTCTCCCTTGAGCACACGTGCCCTATAGCAAATTAAAGAATAATTGTAATAAGTGAAATTAAACAAAGGAAAAACAAAAATTGAAGCCTGGTGTTAAAAAACTGATTGGTTTAGTTTTAATCTAAAATTAGCGAAGTATTAAACCGTACCGCATAAATTCTGTTTTTTCCTGAATCTTGGCAACTTGCATGTGCTTGTGTGTGCCTGTGTGTATGTGCGTTTTTGTTTTCTTTTTGCAGTATCTGAAAGCCGTGATAACCCCCGAGTGTCTCCTGGTTCTGGATTACCGTCACCTAAACCTGGAGCGCTGGCTGTTCCGGGAACTGCCTTCGCAGCTGGCGGGCGAGGGCCAGCTCGTCACGTACCCGCTGCCGTTCGAGTTCCGGGCTGTGGAGGCGCTCCTGCAGTTCCGTGTAAGGCCGCGCTTGGCTTCTACGCTCCCTCTGCTGAGCAGACCGCGGACGGGGCTCGCTCGCATCCGCCGGGTGGGAAGGCAAAGCAGTGCTGCTAACAGTCACGTCCCAGTCACATTCCTGCCACCCCGCAAACGAAATCGTCTCTCGGGTGCCCACGGAGGGAAGGTGCGGGGTTCCTAAGCCGGTTCTGTTGGACCAGCTCTGCAGGAGGAAGTCCAGGCATGTGCACGGCCCCTGACGCTCCAGGAGGCGCTCTCCGAGCCGCTGCCCTTCACACGGCTCTGGCGACTGTACTGAGGGCTCATTCTCAGATAGCGTCTTAGTGGGGCCCGCGGGTAACCGTGGTTAAGGTGCTGGATCCCACATGGCCGCTTACAGTTCACATCCCGGACCTGGTGGCTTGAAAATCACACAGGGCGTATGTACCTGTGTGCCCCAAATCCCAGGAGGAGAATGGAGAAGGGACTGCAGCGTGACCATTGGTCCTGAGGGGTGATTTCTCACTTTTCCCTCTCTGTCTCTCTCCTGCAAGCGCACGTGCCCCTATGACGAATTTATTTTTTATAAAATAAATAGTAGCATCTTAAATATATAAATATACAAATGAATTTTAAATGCATCCCTTTTTATTCCGTGTTACACTGTGTACATCATAAACATGCTCACCCATGATGACTCCATGACATCGTTCATCGTGTGTGTTTACTGCCCGGAGGGTGCACGTGTACACCATGGGAAGAACGATAGACGTCCCCGTGGGGATGGTCACCCTCGATCCCCCGCCCCTTCTCTCTCCTTTCAGCGTTTGGGACGTGCACACATGAACCTGGAGTGCTTCTCAAGCTGCCAGATCTGGGGTTCAAACCCCAGCATGGGCCACGTGTGGTCCAGCCACCTTCACCACCCCACCAGGGGCCCGATTTATGTTTTAAAGCCCAAATTATGTTGTGGTTTGAAAAAGTGCCATTCATAGGGATTTCACACAGTAATACTGTTCACCAAATGGCAGGTGTGTGTTTTAGTCATGGAATGGCAGGTTCATGTTAATTAATCCCGCAGGCACTTTGCCATCATTGAAGAGGGAAGGCTTTCTGAGGAAGTCCCTGTTAGTGGGGTCCGAGCCTCGCGAGGGCAGCGGGCGACGGCGTTAACACCCAGGAGGTGTGCCCTGGCCCTGTCGGGGCCCGCCGTCCCCGGCTCGAGGCGTCGCCTGTACCTCTGTGCTAGGAGCAGTCACGGCCCGGGGCTTGCCTAGGAGGCGGTCCTCGTTCTCATGGGAGGCCGCACGGTGTTGTCGCCTAGGTCGGCGTCCTGCAGGAGCAGCTCAGCGTCTTGCAGCCGCTCATCCTCGAGACACTGGATGCTCTCGTGGACCCCAAGTACTCCTCCGTGGACAGAAGCAAACTGCACGTCTTACTGCAGAACGGCAAAAGGTCAGTGCGCTCCGGGTCACCGCGTGGCGTCAGTGACCTCTCGCCCTCACGCTCACTAGGCTTGCTGGCCGAATGCTCAGCGTACACGCAGGTGCACAGTGGCCGTTCACAAACGCCAACTGGAGTCGCTGAAGGAAACGAGTCGGTCTTACGTTACGGCCGACTCTCAGTGCCTCTGTGGCCCTCGTGGTTTAAACTGGGAATCCGGAGCAGTGGGAGCCGCCGGCCAGCGGTTTGGGTTTGGGTCCGTGGCGAGGTTGGCGCTGTGCGCTCGTGTTCAGCTGTGGGGAGGGTCCTTCGTCCATGGCGACAGCTGCCCTGCCAGGTGTCCGCCCGAGTTCTCAGGCCTGTGCAGGGAGCCCGGCCTCCTTCAGGGCCGGTCGCTGAGCAGAGGGATCGGATAAAAACAACGACAGGCCCGCACACGATGGCTCGCGCTCGCAGGGCACGGGTGCTGGTCGGGAGGTCGGACTCGAGGGCTAGCCAGTGGTTAGTACTTGGAATCGATGGCTGAGATTCCTGAATCAGGAGGTTTTTTGGTCCAAAAACATTGAGATTAGGAACTTTAAAAGATCTATTTAATTCCATTTGTTACTGTTTTTCCATTTGACCAGAGACAGAGAAAGGGAAAGGGAGAAAGCAAACTGCCAGGTCCAGGACTCAAACTGCGGTCGGCCTGTAACCACCACGCCACCTGCTGGCCCCAAGCTCAGGAAGCTTTTAACTGGAGTAGGCGGTGTTTGTGTATATTGCCATACTGGTCGAAAGTGAAGATAAACTCCCAAACCGTAAATTCACAGTGATTCTGTGCTGTTGAGAGAAGCAATCTATGCTGAAATTTATGTCTGGCGCTGATTCGTTTCACTAATTAGCTTTTCTTTTTCTCTTCATTTAACTCTGTATCTCTGTGAATGAGACAAAGGCAAACGCACAGCCCCACAGGGACCCACACTGTGACCCACCCTCGTCCCAGCCCGCATGGGCACACATGAACCTGCAGGACCCCTGCCGCCTGGGTCCAGCTGTGCCACCACCACCTGCCCCCGATTCGTTTTGTTTCGGTTTCAGGATTGAGCCTTGACTTGCACGATAAACGTTGAAGTTTTCCTTTCTGAAGTTGTTCTTTACCATGAGTGCCTAAGAGGATCTTGACAGAATACCCTAAAAGGCACACCCTCCTTTTAGGGAGCCAGTCCTGTGCGTCCACGCCACTGACGTTCTGTGTCACTGTTCCTCCAGCCTGTCAGAGTTAGAAACAGACATTAAGATCTTCAAAGAGTCGATTTTGGAGATCCTGGACGATGAGGAGGTGCTGGAGGAGCTCTGCCTGACCAAGTGGACTGACCCGCACGTGTTGTGAGTTGTGCGTCCTTGTCCCATGCACCCTGGCGTGGCGCGCCGTCCCAACTCCTCCGGGCGATTGGTTGTGGAGCACGCGGCATCCTCCCCCATTGTTTCCCTCCATGCCCGTGCGGTCTCACAGGTACTTCGGTGCGTGAGGATGTACCGAGTACCTGACCCGCACGTGTTGTGAGTTGTGCGTCCTCGTCCCGTGCACCCTGGCGTGGCGCGCCGTCCCGACTCCTCCGGGCGATTGGTCGTGGAGCACGCGGCATCCTCCCCCATTGTTTCCCTCCATGCCCGTGCGGTCTCGTGGGTACTTCGGTGCGTGAGGATGTACCGAGTAGAGACTGCGAACTCGGCGCTGGGCTGGGCTGGGCTGGGAGAGCGCAGAGATGAACACGCTGCCTTCGTGGCCGGTGGCCTTTTTGTTACTCATTTTTTAGTTTTGCTCCAGGGCCTGTGCTCGCCAGGGAGAGGCGAAGGGGGCGGGTGAGCAATCACCGCCTCTGGGGATAGGCACGCAGCAGTCCCTCCTCCAGTTTCCTGTCCGGTTTTGGAAACACGTGCACACACGCCTGGCATGATTTTCAAGCTGCTGGGCCGGGCTCTAACGGTGAAGTCAGCCACGTAGGATCCAGCCACCTTAACCACTGCGCCACCGCCTGGCCCCGAGCACCGACTGGAAGAACTTACCTAGGGAACGGAGTGGGGAGAGGGAGGTGGGACCGTGTGGCCTGATTGGGCACGTTTGGTCTGACGTGGAGATGCCCACTTTGGAGTGAGGTCGTGTTGTTATAAGCACGGGCTCAGCTTTCCTCCCTGGCTGTGGCGGCGCACTTGCCCTAGTCCCTCACCGCACGTTTACACTCCCTGGACCGGGTGGTACGTGTTTGCTAAGTGCCGTGGCTGGGGTCCTGCAGCACAGTGAGGCTGACGGGCCTGTGAGGACGAGACCCGTGTCCTCGCCTGGAAAGCGTGTAG